AATTTTTATGTTGATGATTGCCTGGCATCGGCACCTGACCAGATGAAGGCAGTACGCATGATCAAGGACCTGTCCAACCTCTGTCTTGATGGGGGTTTCCGTTTAACCAAATGGCTGTCCAATGATAAAGAAGTGTTAAACACAGTTCCTGAAGCAGAAAGAGCACCGGAACTGAAGTCTTTGGATTTAAATAACGATGACTTGCCAACAGGTAGAACCCTGGGAGTACAATGGTCACCTCAACTGGACACACTAAGCTTTAACATAGCAGCCGCCGAAAGGAATTACACAAGAAGGGGAATCTTGTCTATTACCTGCTCGGTCTTTGATCCATTGGGATTGGTGGCCCCTTTCATTCTCCCAGCAAAAATGCTACTACAAGATCTCTGTCGGCAAGGCCTAGGTTGGGACGAACTCATTGATGATTTCTCAATGCAGCGATGGAGGATATGGTTAGAGGAGCTAAAGAGGCTCAAAGAATGGAGTATGCCGAGGTGTTATAAGTCAAATCTATCCTCAAATATAATAAGTAGACAGCTCCATGTATTTTCGGACGCGAGCGAGAAGGGGTATGGCATGTGCGCCTATTTGAAGCAGGAAGCCCAAGAGGGAACAATACAAGTTTCCCTTGTCTTAGCAAGAAGTAGAGTGGCTCCTTTGAAATATGTATCTATCCCTCGAATGGAGTTGACTGCAGCAGTTATGGCAGCCCGTCTCACAGATTCTATATTACGTGAGTTGAATATCAAGGAAGTTTGTTACTGGACAGACAGCCAGACTGTTCTTAAGTATTTACAGAGTGATACCAGAAGATTTAAAATGTTCGTAGCTAATCGTGTTTCTACTTTATTGGACTTGACCAAAGTTTCACAATGGAGATACGTCAGAACGGCTGACAACCCAGCCGATGAAGCCTCTAGAGGCCAATGTATTGATGATTTCTTGCGAAATAAGCGATGGATCAATGGGCCTGATTTTCTTGATCAACATGTTGAGCAGCACATAAACCCACAGGAATGTTTGGTTGAAATTGATGAGAATGACCCAGAAGTCAAGAAGGTTTCCAATGTGGTTGTAACCAAAAACCAGTGCTGTTTCCTAGACGGATTGATCTCCAGATGCTCAAGCTTCATGAAGCTGAGGAATGTAGTGGGTCTAGTTTTAAAGTTTGTCGGAGGAGCAAGAAAGAATCAATCAAAGAGCAATGATGTTGATCAATTGGAGGCCGCAGAGAGGTTCATTATAGTTCATGAACAACAGAAACATTTTGCGGCGGAGTTAACTGCCTTGAAGAATGGGGAGAAGAAATTGATAACTGCCGTAATGAAAGCTAGTCCCTTGCGTAAGCTGGACCCTATGCTGGTAGATGGAGTTATCGTAGTTGGGGGAAGACTGAGAAGAGCAGCCCTCCCAGACAGAATGAAGCATCAGATAATAAAGATCTGAAATTGCTCCATTAATTGCCCTTCAAGCCCATAAAAATGTCGGACACATGGGTCGAGCAGCTATGTTAATGTACATGTGGGAGAAACACTGGATTATGGGGGCTGGTGCATTAATAAAAGGTGTTATCAGTAAATGCGTCATCTGCCGAAAGTACCGTGCCAAGTCTGCAGAACAAAAGATGGCCGCATTGCCAAGTGAGCGTGTGCTCAGCGACAATCCTGTTTTTTATAACACCGGTCTGGATATGTTTGGGCCATTTCAGGTCAAGCAAGGTAGAAGTCAAGTAAAAAGATATGGACTTCTGTTCACATGTTTAGCAACAAGGGCTATACACTTAGAAATTGTGCACACAGCCAATGCAGACTCTTGCCTGAATGCGATACGGAGATTTGTATGCAGG